CTCAAAGGCTGGAGTAATGTAACAGGCAGCATGCAGCTTTCCTGCACGTGCACTACTGATGGTTCACTACATGGCAGATCAGTGGCTAAAGAGGGAGTGAAATAGCTGAAATATTGATTGTCTTATTGGCACTGCAGGAACTAATCAATCACATGACCGCACATGGCTGTATGTTCGGGCAAACTGTGGCTTCATGAGCTTGACTATGTGACTGCACTGCTAGAGCCATATAGAGTAGTGCAATGCATCTCACTACCATTAAAAGAACATACTACAAAGAAAACATGGACAATCACTTCAAAAATAAAGCTCTTAAATTCACAGAAAGCTCAAACTAAACTGCAGAAGCAAAAGACGAGAGTTCAGAGAGGCTAAAAATGGAACATGTTTTCATGATAAGGAAGCAATATGTTGATTATGACAATTCTCACTGGACAGGAAACTCCCAGAGAGATGATTATAAAAGGGCGTGATTTGAGAGTGGGCTTTATTTTAGGCCTTGCGCATCATTAAGACTTAAACGTGTGTGTGTGTGTGTGTGTGTGTGTGTGGCTTCTGGGTAAAGTTTAGAGGAGGGCGTGGGGAGAAAGGCCAGAGGAAGGGCAGAGCCAGCACCGAACGATGCTTGGCATGACTGACCGCTGTAGCATTCATCACTAATATCCGCTCACTTGGCCCTTCCCCATGCTTCGGGTGACTAAACAGTTAAGGCACTTCTTGCCTCGCCCCAAAGCAAAACTGAGAACATCTATCTTCATCTATCTTTCAACAACACACATTTGCGAATGATGTCTCCAAATATAGACTGTAAAACTGTGTTGAAGCCGCGGATGATCTTAGAGCTCTTTTTGGTTTCTAATAGAAGGAAAAGCTGAATTGTCAGAGGAACAGAAAATGTCGGTCCGACGTTGAGACGAACACCAGGAGATTTGTTAAACACTTCAATCAATGCAGTATTCTGGGAAGAAAAGGGGAGAATCTTGATGGGCAATGTGTTAATAGTATGGCTGAAGATGTATTCATTAACCTGGGGACAGTTGCAGATTAGGTTTTTGTAAAGCCTCAGTACTATACTACTGCATATATTAAAAAAAGACTACTGTTTCTTATTATTTTGTCAAACTGTATCATCAAACTCAAACCGAAGACAGAAAGAGGGAGAAAGGGGAAATTATACTGATAAAGACTATTACCTATATATTATTACATTTCACTGTGAATATATCTTATATGATTACATGTGACAAAGATTGATTGATTGACACAGGCCTTAGATTACAGTGTGCAGTATATCCTGGTGGATAGAATTAGACTATAACTAGCACTTTGTATTCACTGAATGTGGGCTGGCTTGCTATACAGTGGAGGGTGCCTGAATTCTCACTGGGCCAGTGTCATTGCCCTTATCTCTACGCAATAATGAATATTGTTGGTCACAATGGATTTTAAAGAGGAGTTGGTTATTATGTGTGTGGGATTCCTCAATTTGTGCTATTGGTCTTTTGCCCTATTAGTCACAATGTGGGTGCACTGAAGAGGTTTTAGAGCCCATGTATAAACATCACATATGGTTTTGCATTTTAGCCAAGTACCACTGAACAGTACTGTGAATCAAGGCTGGATGCTAATAAGTGTTAAACAAATACATTTTCTGGAAGGCTCGTACTCTGTGTTTCATGTGTTGTAGGCATATGACGTAAATCTACCCATTCTGATTCTGTAAATCAGTGCTATCCAGGAAGTTGCCTAATATAGTGTGCAGTTTGAGCTCAGTGAAGCACAGAAAGTAGTTTTGCCAACTTTGTCTGTTTCAACTTTGTCCCTGGACATCAGCAGCTGTGTGAACTTGAAGGAGAGCATTCACTGGGAAAGGAGCTGAGGGGGAATAAACGGAATCTAGTTACAATTTGTTTACAGTAAGCATTTGTGTATATATTTGTGTGTGAGTGTGTGTGTGTGTTTGAATGAAGTCTTTGGTCATGACTTGGTTCACAGCAGCTGTTCATTTGCTAGCGAACACTTGCTCTGGGCAGTGCCAAACAATGCCCACCCTCCCTCTCTGATTGGCTGTGGGCATGCTGGGTGAAGGGGAGCGGATAGTTTCAACACTGCTACTGAACATGGATATAGATGCAGTCCCAATCTACAAATCCCTGAAAGCTTTGGCCATGACTTGGGCCAATGCACAAGTCTCCAAAAATAAACTACAACAAGCTGATTATGACACGTAATGCGTTTTACGTGAATGCCAGAATGCACTTACTCTGAACATTGTGACTTGCTGAAAATGTTTCATTATATTACACAACTAAAATCTACAATGAATTATTTGAGGTTCAAATCAACAGCAGACTGTGTTTTTTAAATCAATAAAATCCCAGGCCTTTCATCATAATCCAGGATTACACAATGACTATTAGTCTGTGGTGGAAACTATAGTACTTTTCAGGCTTATTTAGTTATGCTACCTTTAATCATTGATTTAATTATAAACTGAAAAATAAGAAGCAAACATAAAATACCCCAAATATCTTAACAAAGTGCATCATGCTTGCCACCTTTCAGCATATTACATTTATTTGAATATCTTTAGTTTAATCAATAATAACACATACTGTAAAGGATTTCTGGTTCACTCGTATTAGATTTTGCTCACTTTAAAGGGTCAGTTATAAATATTCTTATCATTTTCACATTAGATAATATGATGTGAATCCTTCCATATATACACCGATCTCCACATGATAACACTCGTGCATTTCATGCAATCTTCACACTCCCCCACGTGTACAGTAAAACCATAGAGACCATGAGTAAAACTGAAACCAGTCCATTTATCTCTGTGCATCTTAAATCAAGTTATTTTTCCCCACCAGGAGAGAGCAGGCTGTTAAAAACTCACAAGGGAGCCACTTCCTGCCGGCCGCAGCCCGGGCAATCAAAAAGAAGTATTCTAATGATCCCTGACAAAATTGTCAGACGATATCCTCCAGGGTGCGATGATACTTTACATTACAGTAGACGGATCGATAGGGAGGATGACATGAGAGGCCTCTGCAGAGGGAGGAAGCTGCAGTGTGCTGCTCTGACTTGTGATGATTCCACGATGAGTCCATCTGACCTCACAGGCCACGTGTGGATGGAAGTCTGTAGCACATATGTGTAAACTGCTTAAATAACTGCATTCACCCCTTGTCTGAGGCGTGGTACCGGAGTGTACCGTGTGTGTGTGTGTGGTTGTTCTGTGGCTTTGTGTGTGTGCACCTGATAAGTATGTGTGTGCAGGTACACCACGTGTGCAATCTATCAGTAATTGAAAAATTGACAGCCACCTCTTAACATCAATAAGAAATTCTTTACAGTTGGCCTTTAAACAGTGACACAGCAAAATTAGAATGCTGTGTAAAGAAAGTCAATCAGGAAACATTTTGTTTCAAAGTGGCCCACATCCCTAAGGAACCAGTTATCACAGACAACTGACAAGACCTGGGCGCCACAAAACTAGGTCGTTAAAGTGGATTAATGCTGTAATTCAGAGATGAACACACAACACAACCCCACTAATGAACCCCTCCAGTCTCTCATCAAGCTTCCTGTGCTGTGGTTAATATTGTTTACACAAACCTCGGCTTTTGCTCACTCGACATTGCATCGGATAAAAAAAGCTCCTGATTATAAGTCTCTCACGCAGAGTTCAACCGTAAACTTGTCGTCAGTCGTCCATAAAAAGGATGTGATTGTGAAAAACAGATCCAGAGGTCGGGTGATACATGTTACGTACATATAGTGTAAAGGTATTACATGTCAAAGTGATACATGTAACATACGTTCTGGGTTTGGAGGCGATTTGGAAAATGGAAGGATCAATGAAGGGATGTAATGCAACGCTGTTTCCTAACAAGGATGGATCAACATTTTTCCTTAAGCTCAAACTAACAGCACATCATCATATAAGCTAGAATTCAATACTCATCCCCGACTAATACATTCAATATCACAGTAAAGAAGAAAAAAATACCTACAGTTTCTAAATGGGTCATTTTTTCCTTGCTGGGGCCATAATGCTGGTCATTTGTATTTTTGTATTGCAGCCTAATGAAGATGGCTTACTGGCAAACAGCATCTAACACCTGTGAGTGGGGTCAACACTATATTGAGTAACTAATGGGTCCACGCTGGCAGACAAACTGACTTCTGCCATTTGTGCTGGGGGGGGGAGTCACGCTGACAGAAGAGTGACTAAATCCTGAAGCATGAAAAACACAACCAAATGTTAAAATGTTTCTGTGTGCCTAGAAGCACAGTTCCGTTTTTTAACACTTATAAATACTTTCTCTCTTCACAACCCCTGCCTGACGAGGGCAGGCATAATCGGGTGGAAACAATGTCTCCTTCCCCCTTAGTTTGTGATGGAAAAGCTTTAAATCCTTGGAGAAAAGCAGTCACACAGTGGAAACAGTCGTCATGAGCAACACTAGCTGGCCTCTTGTCCTGGGGGATGAAGGAACAAAACAGAGCCAGTAAATGTAAACAAAACAATATTACATCTGAATCTTTTGTCAAACAAATCACAAATGTGCACCCTGTCACCATTACATATTCTCTAGAGGACCGTGTTAGATTTATGAGACTTATGAGACTCTTCTGTATTAACTTTTCTTTATGGCGATGTTTTTTTTTTCTGCAGCCAATGTTGGATTCAATTCCTTCAGCATGCCAAAGTAACAGTGATCTGTTGCAGTGCCCTATAGGCTACTCTGTACTCTGCAGCCCTGCTTCAGCGATGCTTAGATGACTTGACACAAACACGGGGAAGAATCCCCACCAACCTATCAGCAGGTGTGTCTTAACACCTGTGACTGTGGAGCTTTGACGGATCATTTCTCGGTTGACACCCATCTGAATGCACGAAGCTGCAACAACTTAAGCAAACTGGGAGCAAAAGAAAAACGACACGTCAAGCAGAAATGGTATAAAAGCTGAGACCGGCTGTAAATGTAGTCTCTTTAACGTGCAGTGAACACGTGCCCCTCGTGCAGAAAAAAAAAATCCACTTTCACAGACACTATCATTTTCCAAGACATCTAGCTGAAAACGGCTTGGGACAATAGTCTCAGTCGGATCATAAAAATTTCCGAGAGCATCACTGAAATGACGGCGCAGAAACCACGTGTTTACGTAATGGAAAGCCAATCTTTCAATTTAACCCCTCCTCCCTGGCTATTTCTAACAGAGGTCCGACGCTAGAGGAAATTCATGCAAATGTTTTTGTAGGCGCACCGTACTTTTTGGAGATGCCAGTGGCGTGGTGCTGAAAAAGCCGGAGGAAAATACCCCACAAACGGGAAGAAACGCACACTTCAGGAATCACGGAGACTCACACACACACACACACACACACCAAGAGCCCAAGCCTGGCTTTGACAGAAACGTTGCAGTGTGGGACTATAAGAAATGAAAACTGAGGTTGGTGTTATCTGACCTCGCCAACCAAGCTGGTTTACAGGAGAAGCGAATTGGACTTGATCCGGCAATGTGGTGTTTTGTTGGGGCTATCATTGCAGCAGTCTGTGCATAGGATGCATCCTCCCTTGGCTTTTGATGCTGTGCAGATCCACCCTCCTCTCCTCAGAGTGATGAACTAATAGGCAATGATTTTCTCCTCGGAAATCCTCCGTGTTTTACTGTTTTCACGTTAGTTGTGTTTGTTTACTGGCGGCCCGTCTCCTCCCGGTGCGACACATGCAATTTACAGAGTATATTTTCTATTATCGACTAGTTGAGGAGGCATCCTTTATACGCCAGAAGAAGAAAACACACCATTATTACGAAGTCTGACAGATACTGAATATTTTGCCACGTGAATGCAAACGCATAGGACTTGGATATACCCATTTTTCTATGATACAATTGGTAGCCTTGTCCTGGAGAACTGATCCAATTGTGTTATTATGCAACCGCAAGGATCTCATCTATATCTGGGTGTTTAAGCCACTGGATTGCTCTTCGCCCAAATCAATGTGGTTTCTTTGGAACATTTTCAGCAAAGGAACGCATATGCTGCAGTGTCTTTGTGGCAAGAGTCTTAAGAAAAACAAGAATCCAAGTGGTAAGCTCATCACCATTATGCCTACTCCTCGGTTTCACTGTGAACCGGCGTTGTGCGTGCGTGAGAGTGTGAGACAGCGTGTGTGTGTTGGTGTGGATCTGCGTTATTCGTTTGTTTGTTGTACTGGTGATAGATCTGCAATCATATTTATGCAGCGAGTGGATTATGCAGAGGCGCTGGGAGGGGGAACAACTTATTCTGTGCAGCTACTATCGGCGAGCCCAGGTTTGGGGACGCGCAGCGCACAGACACACACAAACCCCCCTCCTCCTGCATCACCACGGCACCATGATCTCCTAACTTTTTAAATAGCGCTCACACACACACACACACACAAACGCGCACACACACAGGCTAGGTGTTTTTTCAGTGGATCAAATCCACGCACAGTGATTCTGTCCAACGTGATTCCTCCTGGCCAGATTATTCCGTCCTCGGGTTTACTGCAGCAGCATTCCCCCCTCTGCAACACCACTTCTCGATTAAATGGGCTACTCACTGTGTTTTCAGCAAGCCAGCCGGAGGAGACAGACTATTCTCTCATGTCTATCTCTCGGCTTTCTTGCGAGACTATGAATGCGAAATGTGAATTTAAAAACGAGCACTTGAGTTTCGATTTTGGGCTGAAGAAGCGAGGGCAGCGGAGGTGCGAATAGGGCATGTAGAAAAGAAACCGGGCTGCACTGCACTGATGCAAACGCTGCACCTGAGCAGTCGACATCGTTTCGATTCCGATCCTGGACTTTTATTTTAGATTTTGTGTGTGTGTGTGTGTGTGTAGAAAAGCAATGCAAAAGCCAACAGCGATCAGTTATCACGTTGTAGCCAATTAAACGCACCAATGCAGAGCTCCAGTGAGCAAAGAGTGTTTATTTCAACAGGCTGTATGAAAGAAAAAGCCCCAGGTGGGCAGCATGTAGAGCGGGCTACTTGTTACCTCCTGTTGTGGGTCTGGAGATGATGTGCTCAGCAGCAGCACAGTTCCTCGACACTGCAGCTGCAGCATAGTAGATCATCATCATACTGTAGCAGGACTGTTTTGCCTTGCTGACACTGCAGGAGCAACGACAAAAACACTGTCTTACTATCAACTACAAACACAGTCTCTCTCTTTTTTTATACAATTCTTTCCCGAGCATAGGTCAAGCTGTGTTTGTTTTTACAGTTAAAATGAGTGTCGAGCCGCGGTAAACATCAGTTTGAGCCTTTCACGTAGCAATCATCTTAAGCTAACGTTAAGTAGCTGCTTTTCTCTAAGAGGAGTAGCTACACAAGCTAAACTTTGGAAAAGCGTCGCAGGTCGTTTGAAAACATTTCGACATTTTCTAGATTCTTCCAAGACTCTCATAAACACCAGTATATTACATATTAAGAGTGTTACACAATAAAGAAGGTTTGAACTGGTTTATCAAGTTGCACATTTACAAATGTCATTTAAACACACATCGTAGCAGGAAGTGGCATATCGTCTTGCTTGCCTTGTAGAGGCACCACTGAAAGGGAATAATGTATTATTCTGTTAATTTATATATCTATTCTACAATATTTATAAGTTTATATTACTTTTAATTTATAATTTCATATACATTTTTTCACGCACATTATCGGTAGCAAGGAGATATGTTACATGCAGCAGCCATGTTTGTTTAGTTTAAGGACGGAAGAAGAAACTGTTTTTTTTGTTGCAGGTAAAAGTATTTTTTGTTCCAGATGTTCAAAGACCTTAAAGAATCAGGAAAAAACAATGGTTGTCCCACAACCTGTGAGTTTTTTTTGCAAACTTTGTAAAAAAAAACTGGCATAGCAACGTAAAGGTAATCTGTGCACAATGTGGGGCTAAGTCTGGGTACAGGCTCTGGGGTGATAACTGACTGATTGCTGCTCAGTGGAAAAGCCGCAGCAAGACCCCTTAGCTACTTCTCTAACCGGTGCTCAACACCATGCAGCCAGTCGATCAACGCTGAGACTCACTGTCAGGTGTCCGAGATTTGAAGCCATGCGCCTTTCAGACGTTGTGGGGGCCCACTATTGAATTATCAGAAACTGATGGTGTGGACACAATCTTCGGGGTTTATGCTGAAGCAGCAGATCGAGCCAGTAGTTTATCGGGAAATGAAGTAGGCCAGGATGCAGACTGTGTCAGTGGGGTGCAGTAGTGTTTCTTACAACTAAAAACTGCAAACTCATTGAATGTACAGCATCAAACTAACCTCACAAACACATTAGGTTCAACTACAGAGGTGCCTTAAACAACCTTAGAGGATTTTCTAGTACCTTTGTTGTAGTAGGACAGAGAATCCTCTGTGTGGCCCTCTGTCAGCAGAGGCAGGTGTTTCCACTATAGTGCTCACTATAGGCCTGAGCTGCAAAGGCCTAGATATACTGCTCCAGCTCCTGGGCTGTATTTTTAGTAACACAACATGAGAGGACACAGAGAGATTAAGCCAACTGGGCTGTATCAATAAGAATGTTGGCATAGAAACATCTGACTAATATTGTTATCTGTATCTTTTTCCAAACACAAAAACTAAAAGTAGACTTTGTGCTTACTTACTGTGCATCTGAAGAGGTACAGAGAGTTGATTCTTCAAGCACTTTCTCCAGCAGATGGCACCTGTTTTTTGCCTAATTGTAGGTTAATATTTACTGGTCAGGGGCAAAGCGAGGCGAGATGTGTGTGGAGGGTTTGTCTGTAAGTGCCTTTGATTATGTGTTTAGTTGCTGAAAGTGTAAGGTAGGCATGACTGTTTTTTTATAAGCAAATAAAGACTTCTAAACAGAGAGCGGAAGTCTTCAGAGCTACAGATCAGAGCTACCATCGTTGTAGATTTAGGTGATTTCAACATCCAATGCTGGTGCTGTTTGTGAGCCTTTGAATGTCACAGCAGATATATCAACAAAGAATAAAATATTTCACTTGTTGATATATCTGTTCAGAGTTGTCTGCCCATTCATCTTTCTCTCTATTACTATCGTTAAGGTTTGTCTGCATCTCTTTTCAATTAACCTAACATTGTGAAATCCATTTGCCACTCAATCTACATAAAGGGGATAAGTAAATATCCACTTTTGTTTGAAACTAAGTGGTGATAATGCAGCTGTTTTGATGTACGAGTAAGGTCGACACATATGGATCATCCTTGAAACAGACCACATGGTTTTATGTGGAAGCCAGATGCCATGAAGGCAGTGTGTCTGTGTGTATTAATGGTAGTGCATGGCATTGCCATTACATGGTTTAGAGCATCTGGAGGCATCCACATGCCAGAAGCTGTCAATTTTACTTCACAAGGCCGTGGATAAGATAAAAGAGATGTTGCATTCTGATGCAAATCAACAAACTGGGTCAAAGTTGTAGCACTGTAACAGAAATACTCACCCTCTTAGTGTACATATAGCAGTTTGCCATCATGTTAAGTCTACATGTGCACTTTTAGCCTTTAATTCACTGTGCTATTATAGTCACTGACCAGTTCATATTCTTTTAGCTGTGTCACTGTTTTCCAGCAAAATCCCTGTTTTTATCTATGGTAGGTTGTCCTTAGGGGTGGTGGTCCAAATGACGTTGCTGGCCAACCCTCACTCTCATGTCCCAGCTTGGGTACATGTGTCTCAGTGAACATACAGTACTTCATTAAGTCAATTAATTAATGAACAAGCTGACTGGAAGGGATGGGGATACACTCTGCAAATGACCACAGTTGTCATCTTTTAAAACTTTCGAGAACGTCATCGAGCGGATCATATAGTTACAGTGAATGACGGGGCCTAATGAGGCCATTTGGTGGTAAACGTTAGAGGAAAAAGTTATGTCACAAACTGCCATATGTAATCAAGGCAGACAGTTGATGGGCTGCTCACAGACATTTCTTTGGGCCTTGTAGTTTCGTAAAGCGTTGAATGCTGTAAATATGGAAGACGGACGTTGTAGCCAGGTTGCTGAAAGAGCAGAATTGCAGTGGATGTGTGGAGTCAGTAGGTGGCTTCCTCAGAGTAACACAGCAGCGGGCCATTGACATCAGAGTGACAGTACAGGTCACAGAACACCCAGCCATCCACGTGAGGATGGTTCATAGCATATCAAGTGAAACTCAACTCTATTGTGTGTGACAGAGCCAGGAGGCCGAACCAAAGCTTCAGCACTGTAATGCTATTGCTCTCGTTTGCTCCATGGGCATACTGGAACTTTAATCTAAATCTCTAGCTTGACCTCCCACTCCTGAATCTGTGACCCAAGATAATTTATTTGAGTCTCTGGCATGGCAAACCATACTGACTATTGGACGACTATTACCTTGTACTGGTGCTAAAAAGTGAGAGCTCTGAAAATTAAAATGTTTAGATTTAGGGCACATAAACCATAAAAAATAAATCAATTGATCTAAATTTATTGTGTCTCATAAAATCATAAAAACTGTGAATAAGAAGAGACATAAACAAAAGGCACTTGTTTGGACAATGGCAACAATTTTCTTTTAGTGACTTGTGACTCTTTTAGGGACACAGTCTGCAGCTATATGGCTATAAACTGAAGTTGACAGGTTCATGACTAGGCTGTTAATACCCTTTTAAAGAACGACTTTGTCAGCACGTTGACTCACCCTTTGATAAGGAGCATGTCCATGTATCTGGATGCTGTTTTCTGTCATATCAAGTTTGAGTTTTTCAGCGTAAAATGCTAACCCTGTACTGTTACTTGCTGAGCCGAGACTTCCATGGTGTAATCTGAAATTACATGAATAACTCAGATTATGCTGCTGGTGTCTTTCTCTATCTACTTCTCACCTCAGAGCAAGGGCGACATACCTCAGATTCAGCTTCTTCTAAAATCTAAGATGCTTGATTCATTCCTGTAACATACCCACGCTAGTTTAATTTGTGGTAACAAAGAAACGGCAGTGTAATTAAAGGGGATGGGTGAGATTCAAACAAGAACTCCTACAATTAGAATAACAGCAGGGTTGGCTAAAAATATCTGCCTCCAACCACTGTGGCATGTT